TGAATCGGCTGCCTGGCGCCCACACTTGTCCCTTCACCGTCGGAGCGGTGCCTTGCCCTGACCATGGCTTCCCCTGCCCCGGCTCCCCGGGGCGCCTGCGAGAGGGCAGGGAGCGATATGAGCTGGACGCACTGTCCTGGCAGGGACCTCGGCTGGGCTTGGACGAGCTGCAGAGGCCAGGTGAGATTCCTGGGTGGTGGTCACACAGCACCCAGGTTGGGGAGCCCCCAGAGACCTGCCAGAGCCACCCTGGGGTGACAGAAATGTGGGGTGCTAGGAGAGCCCCAGCTCTGTCCCTGGGCCTGGGAGCAATTCCTCCCTGCTGCCCAGGGGTGCTAGTCCTCACGTTGGCACCCCAGCTGGACCCCCAGCATGCAAGCTGAGCCAAGGGGGTGGTTGGTACAAGGCAATCCAGAGTGGGAGAAGATAGAGGGTACCTGGGGAGTGGTGGCATGGCTGAGGACACAAGCGCTGTCCTGACAGGGGCACAGGAGGATGGAGTAGGGCAGTGGGAGCCTGGGGAGCCAGGGCTGTGCCGCAGCTGGCATTTAACACTCTCTCTTGTCTTGCACAGAGCTGGGGTGCTGGGCCAGGGTCCAGTCCATCTGTGTCTCCCTTCTCAAGGTGCCTCTGATGTTCGGGTTCCTGTACCTCTTTGTGTGCTCCCTGGATGTGCTCAGCTCTGCCTTCCAGCTGGCTGGAGGTAGGATGGCAGGGGCACCTGGGCAGCTGGTGGCACCCACTGTGCCAGCACGCTGTCACTCACACTCTCTTGCAGGCAAGGTGGCTGGGGATATCTTCAAGGACAATGCCATCCTCTCCAATCCAGTGGCTGGGCTGGTGGTGGGCATCCTGGTGACCGTGCTGGTGCAGAGCTCCTCCACCTCCACCTCCATCATCGTCAGCATGGTCTCCTCGGGGCGTGAGTGTGCTCACGGGCCTTCCAGGAACTTGATGCTGGAGGACAGGGTGACCGGACGGGGTCACTCTGAGCTGGGCCATGTGGGGCTAGTGGGTCTCTCTGTCCCCAGTGCTGGAGGTGCGCTCTGCCATCCCCATCATCATGGGCTCCAACATCGGCACCTCTGTCACCAACACCATTGTGGCCCTCATGCAGGCAGGTGACCGCAGCGAGTTCAAACGGTAAGAGCTGGTCAGAGCAGAGGGGACTCAGAGGGCTGGGAGCTGCTCTCCAGGGACCACCCCACGCCAACAGGCTCCTCCACACAGGGCTTTCGCTGGTGCCACGGTGCACGACTGCTTCAACTGGTTGTCAGTGCTGGTCCTGCTGCCGCTGGAGGTGGTGACTGGGTACCTGCACCACGTCACTCGCCTGGTCGTGGCCACCTTCAACATCCGCAGCGGGAAGGATGCCCCTGACTTGCTAAAGATCATTACGGAGCCCTTCACCAAACTTATCATCCAGGTCTCCTCAGCCATGGTGCCCCCCAGGGTGGTGTCCCCAGGCTGGTGATGATGGCCCCAGCACTGGTGTCCATTTGATGGTGGTCTTGCCTAAGTGTCTCTAGTGTGGCAGTGGTGTTCCCGGGGTGGTTATGGTCCCTCAGCATTGCTGTGCCAGTGCTGGTGGTGTTATCACCAGTGCTGTTGTCCCTTTGATGGTGGTTGCATCCAAGTGTCCCCAGACTAGCAGTGGTGTCCCCATCCCAGTGAAGATGTCCCCAAGCTGTGAGTGCTGTCAGCCCACTTTTCTAACATGTGTGTTGTTGCAGCTGGACAAGTCAGTGATCACAGGCATTGCAACAGGGGACGAGAGCCTGCGCAACCGGAGCCTCATCCGTGTCTGGTGT